GAACACAGAACAACCGTTCACACTGCTTTAAAAGTAGCCTTGTCGGCAAGTTGGTCTTGTGTGCCATCCTCCACCGTGCCGTCCTGAAGCAGGGCACCGCATGAATGCAACCAGCAAGACTCATCCTCGAAACCATATCCTTCGAAGCTGTCATGGGGGGACTACGGGTCAGCTCGTCGAACTCTGCTCTGAAGGATGTGTCCTGAGAACACAGGACCGAAGAGAGTTCACGGTCGAACACAGGAAGAAGATTCACGGTGGCCTCGTCGGCAAGTGCCTCCTGCGTGCGTTTTTCTACCACGCCGTCCTGAAGCAAGGCACCGCATGAATGCAACAGCAGTAACAGGAAGACTCATCGTCGAAACCATGTCCTTGGAATCTGTCATGGAGGGACTCCTGGTAAGCTCATCGAACTCTGTTCTGAAGGATGTGTCCTGAGAACACAGGAAGAGAGCGCAGACAGGAACAAGGTTTACGGTAGCCTTGTCGGAAAGTGCCTCCTCCGTGCCGTGTGTCAGCACGACATCCTCGAACAGGGCACCAGAGAACAACAAGTCGTTCAAGTCAACACCAAGACTCCTTATCCAAACCATGTCCTTTGCATGTGTCATGCAGGGGGTCAGAAAAGCCCGGACTTCACTCTCTCGCACGCTGTCAAGTCTGGGCTCTCCCATCTGCCTCTGGGAAGGTGTGGCCCTCCATCCGGCGAAGCTCCGGCGGTGTGGGTTCCGGCAAGGATCTAGCCTGAAAAGGGGGCTGAAGGCCTGGGATGTTCTGGGGATATTTATCATTAATTTTCTTTGTTCTTGTAGCCATGTTTGTCAGTGAATATTAACTAAGACTAGTAATTGACACTAAGGCTTATCGACATGTTGTCAAATGTAATCCTCCAAGACAGGCAGTAGTATAACAAACCTTGCTCTTATTAATTTTTGGTTATTCTTCGGAAAAAATATACGTGTGCCTTGCTGTTTCTTTGTGGGTGAGCGGTCAGGTTTACATAATTTCGGTCAGTGGGTTCTCCTCTCGATGGTTTCAGGATGATGAAATATGTTGTTTATTCGTACTTAAAGGTTTGCTATCACCATGATCATGATGGGGGGGGGGGGTGTGTCAATTGCAAGGCAAAGCTTGAGAAAAAAGTCCACTAAACCCGACCCGATGCCTCTTCCGCGACGACAAACTCTTCAGCACACATCTCCTGGCAATCAAGACTGTTCATTTTTATGTACAAGACTGCACAAACAATTTAAAAACTCCAAAAGCACAATATGATCCGCGGACCCTTACGAAATTCAGGTCCTTCTGAGCCACTTCCTCCAGCATGGGGTCCTGGTCACGTGACTGAGCATGATGTGACAACTTCGGGGAAATTCATCTGTCCTCTTCCGTGTTCGCATCATCTGGGCCCTGGCATTAAATGTAGACACCAAGCAACATGTGGTGGGCCCTCTGCTGACTCGAGCCTCGGGGTGCCGCTTCCTCTTGCCGCTGGACTTTTTGGTGTCCTTTTTCTTCTTCTTGTCTTTCTCTTTCTTTGTCGACGTTTTGTCTTTGCGTGTGTCTTTGGACTTGAGAGACGGTTTTTTTTGCACCTTCTTCTTCTTAGAGTCCTTGTCGTCGCTGTCGTCGGTCTCGTCGTCTTCGTTGTCCGACAAAGGGACGCTGGACTCCGAACCTTCCGCGGCTTTCTTCTTCTGAGGCTTCTTCGTCTTTGGTTGCTTCTTCGGCTTCACCTCAGAGGATCCCTTGCCGCCGGGGACGATTCCACTGTCGTACTCGGGCCGCGGATCTGGCCGCGGCTCCAACTTGGGAGCCAGCGTCGTCGCTTCCGACGAGTCCAAGTAGTCTTCCAAACGGAACTGCGGTCTTACCGCTTGCGCACGCACCGCTCGAGGCGGAACGTACTCCGCCTCCGACGATTCGCCCGACATGGCGGCTACTCGGCCGCCTGCCCCTAAATGCTTAAGCCGAAGTGCCGAAACCATCCGGAGGCGTCCGCAAGCAAGGACATGGAAGGGTGCGCACTCCACCAGGCTGCAGGCTTGCGGTCTTTGGGTCTGGCGTGGCTGCCAAAATTCCAGTCGTCAGACTGTTCGTCCAAAGCCGTCCCGGCCCGACAAAGCAATCATCATGCTCTTGACACTCTTGACTTCAGACCAGACTGAGAAAACAGGCTGTTGCAGGTTAAGTTAAAACCGGACCGGTGACGGCCTGGACTTGACTTCCGTGGGATACGACAGACTGAAACCTGCTGTCAGAGCTTGTGCTGAGCACCTATTACATGATCTGGTAGACACCCGGCTCAACATCGAAAAGGCCTCGCAAGACCAGGGCTGGCCTCAACGGAACCAATCGGCAGGAATGCTTGGGACCCTCCTCGGCAGCTCGATCGCACCGGACATGCCAGGCAATGGCCAAGGCTTCGCACTGCTTCACCTTCGCCAGGTCGAGTGTCCGGCCCCAGGACACGGCAGGCACGGCCTTTAGCAGAAACGCAAGAAACGACAAAATGTATAAAGTACGGAGTGGCTTGGGGATGTTCTTAGAAAGATTGAGAGCTACACAAGGATTCATTAAAAAACAGGCTTCACATACACACCGCCGCACACACACACACAGACACTAAACTCATAAAATTGTTAAGATGCACGGCTGGGACAGGTGGGGTGGGTGGCTGGGTTGGCGGATGGGCGGGCTAACTGCAAGAAGTAATCATCGCCGGGTATCCTCCTTCTTCTTGCCGCTCTTGCTCTTGCGGCCCTGCTTGGCCGTCTTCTCGAGGGAGTCCAACACGAAAATCAGCGTGTCCTTTTCGTTGATCACGCCCTCTGCAAGACTGACCTCGTGGTGAGAGATCTGCACCTTCGCCTCGCGTTTTTTGATTTAAAAGCAGCAGGACGTACAATCACTCAGAAGTTTATGACAGGCAGCCGTCAAGTTAACTTAAAGTTTATCTTCTTCCTGACACTCGCCTCCCCATGGTCCTCCAGGGCTTTGAGAAGCGTTTTCACGGGCGCGGGCTTATCAAGATAGGGTAGGTCCGCCAGGTGGGAGGAGATCTTCTTCTTTTCCAGGATCAGCAGGCTGTCGAAATCCACACGGAACCTCAACAGTCTGGCACCGTCTTCCTCCTTCCCGAGCTCTGCCTGGAGATGGCCGAAAAAAAAACATGGAAGCATCGACCGCTGAAGCCGGCTTAGACCCCGGAAGTCAAATAGTTATTTATGCATATTCGGAATCCGAAACACCAACCCGGCAATACCTCAGCCCGAGGCAAGGTCGAAGGCACCTGACCGGTGCAGAATAGAATTCAATCCAAGAGTCCATTGTCTTCGTGGCGTCTTTGCCATCCATGAAGCTGCCGCTGCCGAAGCTTCCGAGCAACTTGCCCGCAAGGAGGGTGGTCGCCTCGTCCACCTCCGCCCAGATCTTGTCACCACTGTCCGCCTCGTGCAAGAAGCGAACGGTGCCGCTCACGCTCAGAATCGACCTGAAGATAGTCGCCAAGTGGGCAGTAAACCAATCTCAGGATGTATCAATAAGCCATTATTATTATTATTATAATATCAGAACAGTGATTTCAAAAATTTAAAAGTAAATATGAATATTTCTGAAACTGACATTACATGGAACATATAATAGCAAAGAATGTTTTAAAGAATTTAAGACGCTTATTTCTGACTGCAAATCAAGAAACGGATTCTGGAGCTCGGCGATGTCCTTGCTAGTGAGGGGCTGCTCATGCTCCACGAGCTTGATGCGCTTCGCCGCAGGCTCCTCCTTCGAATCCCCATCCGGCTCGCATCTGATGCGCTTGCCCTGGGGATTGTACTGCTTGTCGTGCTCCTGGACGGCCTTGCGGAGGTCTTCCGAGATCTCGTCGAAGTCTTCGAACTTCTTGTAGAAGCTTTCCACCAGAGCCAGGTCGCCGTTCGGCAAGGGCCTTGTGACCTTGAAGTCAGCCGCATCCATCTGGCTGGGGGCTGCAGTGTCTTTCAAGCCACTTGTGAGCGCATCAAAGCTCGGGAAGCCGCAGAGCTCGAGAGCGCCAGATCTGGCCAGGCCGTAGCAGCTTTCGCGAACCCTGGCCTCGATCCAATTGGCAATCCTCGAGTCCGCGATTGTCACGGCACTCCAGTCCGCCCCGTTTGCCTGCTCCTGGACGCATTGAAGTTTAGTGTCAACTGCAGGGGCGGAGCCTAAGCCCTAATCCGCCTGAACCCCCAACTTTACCCGAATCCCTGCAATCGAATAACAAGCAAAGACCGATCCTCCAGGACCGCCATGGGAACGGATCCATCGTAGCCCAAGGCATCCACCACAGCCACACGCTTCATGGATGGAAACTGCGGAGTCAGGCTGCGGATGGTCTCCTTGACGAAGGATGTCCCGGCGCTGACCTGCCTCAGACTCACAATAAACGACAAACGACGGCCAGGAACCTGACAGTCTTGAAGAAGATTGGCGGCATGAGCCGCCGGCAGCCTGGCTTGCCGCCCGTCTTCTTGAAGACCGCAAGCAGCACTGTGCACTAAGGACTAACTATGAAATATATTCAAATTAAAGGAAGGAGACCAGGAGATTCTAGAGGTTGGGCCCGCCTCATTTCCTGACTGTCGCTCAAGGACTCGTTCGTCGGAAGACCCTTCTCCCAATTCGGCTTCAACGTGTCCTTGCGGGCCAGCATTTCCTCGGGATCGAAAATGCGAGGACATGTTGCTGCTGCTGGGCACTGGGCCAATTGGTTCATCCACGTTGCGATTCCCGAGATGAAGCCGTGCTTGAAAGGCTTCGACTTGTGGAACACGTTCGCCGAGTTTCGTGCCTGGGAAGGCGGACCATCCATGGAATAGATAAGAACAGGCCCCTCGCCCTTAATTCGACCAGGGCACCGTCACGAGCGCTCCGTGCAAAATGCAGGAGCGACTCCCAAAGACACTGGCCTCTTCGAATTGAAAGATGCATTCCTTCACTTCCAACCTTCTCTTCGGCTCGCTCAAGGACTTCAGGAGGTCGTACCTGAGGGCTCTCACCGCCGCCTCCGTGGCGACCTCCTCGTCGCCCGCCGGAGCGTCGTCCTCGGCGGCGCCATCTTCCATATCCTGGTCCTGCTCTTCCTTGACGTCCTCATCCTCTTCGTCTTTCCTGAGAACCGGCAACAATCACTGGACCGGACCAATGAATGACTTGCTCTCCTGCCTGTAACATGACCTGGAATCATGTTTAAATTTCTTGCTTGTGGTTGAATTCAAGATGAGGCTTTCAATCTAGACAGGGCTACGTTTGATTTCAGCGTCATCCTGGAACCAGGGCCGACTCATAGGCTGGACCGGTTTCAACACGTACCCTGCCTTTACAATCGGACTTAGTTTGCTCCTGTTCATGTTTATGATGATATTAGTCTTTATACTATTATCTGATTCTGTTCTTAGTGTTTATTTTAAGTCATGCTGTAGCCAGTATCATCTATTATGCGTCCGTTCAGAGTCTATTTTATATTAAATATTGAATTTACTTGTTCTTTTAATATTTTTCGGGCAGCTGGTAGTTGTCATATCTTTAATCTCTTGTTTGGGTATGAGGAACGACGAGGAAAAGTTCAAGCTTCAAGTTTTTTTGTTCGGTTGCTTGGCGGAACGAGCCGCCAGCGGCCTGGCTGACGCCGCTTCTCTAGTGGATGTCAATTTGCGTAAAAAATGGACATGGTTTCTGGACTGGAGTGCTGCAGGGCCACGCCTTCTCTTTCTTCTCGACGGCTGTCTTGTTCGGGAAGACGACGACGGCGATGCCTTTCAGGGGGTGCATAGCGAGCATGTTCGTCGTGCAAGAGATGAAGTAGTCGGTCTTCATCGCCGTCAGCACGCCCTGGGTCGGAAGGTTCCACATCCTCGCCAGCGGAAGGGGGGTCGGAAATTAATCAATAGCCACGTGACAGTCTGTGGAATATAATTTTCCGACAAGCAGCAGGATCAGCGCCTCCTCGCCCGGTTTGGAGTCAACCGACTTCGCAAAGCTTTGCTGCAAGTGGGGCAGGATGGTCGGCAGCACCTTGGTTCATCTTGAAGCATGTTCCCCCGTCGGAGCTGCTGCCGGACGAATCTTTGCTGATTGCTGCCACAAATCGGAATCGTTGAGCTGGTTGGACTTGGTGCCGAAGACTCGCACCCTAAGATCGCAGTGCTCCTCGACAAGCGTCCAGGCCCTGTTGTGCGCGTCCTGTCACGGGGCAAGAGCCTGTGGTGATGACACACCGATCGGAGAGACAAGGATTTCAAGACTGAAGGACAAGATTAGAGCGCAACATTGGCTGAAACCCATGGCCTCGAGCGTCCGCAAGAGCTCGTTTCGCCTCTTGCCTGCTTCCGCCAAGCAGCCGCGAACCATAGTTTCATGATTCAATTGATCTGCTCGCAATTCTTCCTTCCAAACGCTGTAGCTTGCCTTCAAGGCCTGGCTTCTGGCGTTGTGCAGCTTCGACTTGCTGCCGGCCACGTACTCCTCCGCGGCCCTTCCTTCTGCTTCGAGAACGAACGGCAGCCGGTTCACATCCAGCGACGGCCGACCGCGCAGCTGGCCTTTCAGGTCGCTGTCGAGCAACCTCGGATTGACTGACCGGCCAGAAACCGCTTGAAACCAGTTAACTTGGAGGCTGTCTCTATTAAGTGGGATTTGCGACTGGATTTGCGAAAAACCAGTTAAAAATCCAATGGTTTTGAAGGAACCAGTTATGAATCCTTTTTCGGAATCCAATTCCAAAATACAATAGATTGCTTTAAAACCATGGAAAAAAGAACTGGTTTCCCAGAAAACCAGTCACAATTCGGGGTTCCGGCTTGGCTCGGAATTGTGACTGGTTTTGCTCCCGACCAAGCAATTCCATTCCTCCCAGAGCCAGCCAAATCTGCCAAATCTGTAGCCAAATCGGATTTGGCTGGATTTTTTTTCTGGTTTTCCAGAAAACCTGTTATAATTTTGGTAGCCAAATCCAATTTGGCTAGAGTAGTCCCTCGCCCAAACATTCCCTTAAGCAATTCCATTCCTCCCAGAGCCAGCCAAAACAGTCCATCCCTGAGCCTCGGGCCTGTAGGCAGTCCCTCACCGCAGGACTCCCTATTGAGCCCGTGCCGGAACCGATTCGCGTGAAGCAGTTTCTAGCTGGAAGACTCCCTGTCTGGGGGGGGGGGGCGTGGGTGACTTGGTCGGTTGGTCGGGGTGGGTGGGTTGGGTGGGTTGCTGAACACTAGCAGTTATCCAGAGTAGGCAACCAAGAAAGAGCAGCAGGTAACTATTATTAATATTATAAATATTATTATAAAGTAGAAATAAACCCTTCAACCTAAATTTAGGGTCATTCAATCATCGAAGCTTTCATTCCAACCTCGCTAGTGGGCATTCTGCCATGCGAGAGGGGAAAAAAACCTGAATTTGACAATTCAAGCTGAGCAGCCCCTGCATGAACATATCTTCCAAGCGAGTCATGGTCTTCTCATCAAACTTAGCTCTCAGTTGCTGCAAAGTTGCAACCCACATCTGGGAAACCTGAAGCAGCTCTTGGTGCTGCTCCAGCGGCATCTGGGCCGCTTTCTCGCAGGNNGGTGCCTGCGATTCGAAGCCCTTGATCACCCTGGCCAGGTAGCACAACTGTCCCTCTGAAGAGACTTCCAGCACCTTCTTCCAGCCATTGCCAGGCGGTTGGTTGTCCATGCCGGTGAGGTAGAAGTCAGACTCTAAGACGTCATACGGCAGTCCTGCATATAAAGGCAGCAGGCACCAACCCACTCGATACACATCGCTCGTACTCTCCCTGTGCCGTTACTTCTTTTTCGACGCCGCTTCAGAGCCACCTCTCGGCAGATCCGCGCACTGCTCCGTCCGCAAACCAGTCCAAAGACTTAGGATGTCTCATAATTCTAATTAAGATAACAGTGCTAGGCTGGGCTGATGGTCTCTTTACAGAATCCTATTTCTGAATCCACTATTCGGATCCCTAAATATGTGGTCCTATAAACAGTAATCAGTAACCAGCTTGCTTTTCCTGTGGAAAGCCCACGGACTGGCAGCGGATCCTTGAACAGGCTTTGCCAAGACCCTGTTGCCTTCAACGTCTATTATGGAAAACGACAC